TTTGTCGAGCGAAACCTGTTACGCAGCAGATGACGACAATGACTCGTGTAATGTTAACGGCGCAATGAGCGAGCTTAAGCTGGCCTTCTCTTCCCGAAATGGGGAGAGAAGAGAGAGGGAGAGACAGAGACGCGATCTACCGTGACAATTACGTCGAGTACAATCGCAACGTGACTCGAAACGAGACGTTGGCGTGACCTCGAGTAAATTTCCCGGTTAACGTTGTGAGACTTTCTTGAACAAGTAATAAGCCGGCTGGATTTATTTATCCGGGATGATTAACGCAATTTAAGCGATACACACACAGCTTCAAACGTCGGCCGACGGCACACAAATAGAAAATAATTACTAGCGAAGTATTGGCTATATATTGATTTTTAGTGAACAGTATTAGATGACAATACCGATTTAATAATGGTGGAATACTGGGATAATAGCAAAAAACCAAGAATCGAAAAATAGTACTATAACTGTGCCGATTTCCAATATTGTAAAAATACCCTAAATTATCGATTCCCAATACTGGTAGCGATTTCCAGTAATGATTTATTAGTCAATAAATTTCGTATCATAAACTGTATCTTTTCTCAATTTTCCTATTTATATGCTGAAACAGAAAATAACAATAAAAAATATGTTACTTAACATATTTTTTTATTCGTAGAACTTGTAGTTCAAGAAATATAGGTTTCTAATTTTTGCAAATTAATATTATAAAATATTAAAATAGAACAACAGAACGTATTTCTAATTTTTATGTTTTATAATGCCAGGAAAGCTAAAATTTCTTTTAAATGTCACATTACTAAGCGTCTTTTAACGGCTTTAAATTCAAAATATCATAACGAAAAAACAAAACAAATATCCTACAGAAAATTAAAACACTCGTTCAAAAACTTTTCCCTTTCTCCTAGTAAAACCCCAAATATCAAATTTTCTCCTGATTGTTGTTTACTATGACGGGAGTTAGAGTTAAATTTTGATTTTAATTGTTATACTTATGATCAACGCCACCAAATTAACTAGAATTAACGAGTCAAACTCTTCCGTTCGCCGGACAACCAAGACTTTTAGCACTGAGGTATTTAGCCCGCACGTCAGTGAGACGCTTCCGCTTCCCCGTTCAAGGCATTGGTGTATCGTAACTTAAATCCGCCTCTCAGTACTGAATTACCTCGCTAATTTCCAGTACTGGCAGACTGTACACGACACCCACGGTAGATACACACGGAAGGCCGCGGCGAATCTCTCCGTCTTCGGCGGGCGTCTCGCGCGCGTCAAAATATCTCTTACTCTCGGCTACCTTCCCGATCGGAAATCAATAACAACAGCGCCGTAACAAACCTATTGTTCCCATTGTTTCGGCCACCGCTCAAAACGCGTCCGAAAAGCCCTTCAACTCCCCGCCGCTCGTCCTCCCTCTCTTCTCCGAGACGCGAGCGGAAAGAATACCGTATGATTCGTGATTTGTCGGAAAACGACGTCGTTGATCAATCAAGCGCGCCATTCGTCGACCGGCAATGTGTGTCCGACGACGTCGTCGAGATCGTGAAAAAATGAGGCCGCTTCCGTTCGAACGGAGGGGAAGAATTCCAAGGGAAGGGGGATCTTATCGCGTCGATTTTTCCGCCGCGCCTTTGCGTTATAACGGAACGAAGATAAAACTCCCGGAGTGTCGTCCGCTGAAATCGCGACATTACGCGTCCGAACCGAGCGGAAAATGCTCGACGCGGATTCGGAAAGGCGGCCGGCGGTGGCGGGGGGAGTATCGCAGGACCACTGAAATTTATAACGGGTCCCCCGCGGTTCGCGAAAGAATGCAACTCGGGAAACGTCAGGTCCTCGAAACTGACACTGTAAGCTTCCGAGACGTAATGCGCGGCGACGAGAGCGGGGGGAGGGTGCAATAATGTATCCCCCTCCCCTCCCTCTCTTTCTCTTTCTCTGCATATCTCTTTCCTTTCATGCCTCAGGCCGAGGTGAATTTACGGTAAACCTTCGTATTATTTTCGCGGTAAAGTTTTTCACGGGCGAACGGCGCCGCAATAGAGGCGTGGAGGCTGCCGGGAGGGGGGGGGGGG